GCTATACACAGCTTGGCTAAATCATTCCATGCATTCCTTTCACTCTGTAGGAAGAGTCCAAAGGTTTTGTCACCATGCCCCCCTGCAACAGGAAATTACTGCTTTGCAGCTGCCTTGACTCACAGATCTTGGGGTGGATTTGTCTCAAGAATCTTGTGTACAGAAAGATTCCATGGCAGCATTGAATCATAAACAGATGATGGAAGTGTGTGCAACCATGAAAATGCTTTATGTTCCTAGACAGACATTTCTTCCCAGATCTTTCTCCTGCTGCCATTTTCCAGTTAGAAATACATGGTTTCACCCAATTGCTCAAATGTCAGAATTTTATGAAACATGCCTCAGTTACCATTTGGTGGACCACGACCCAGCTGTGCCTTTTCCATTGGTGACTCTGATGAACACAGGGTTTCTCACAAAGCAGACATGATGACATTGCATAAAAGCCATGTCCCACTCAAAGGATAAGGACTAGCCACAGTTTTAGCTTTCCTCTACAGAAACCTGGGAAGTAATACAAACTCACACAAACTTAATGATGCCAGCTGCCCTTGAAACAGGGTCTCAGGATTAAGAAGGGCATTTGCCTGATCTTTAAAGCCTTTTGCACGCATCAGAAATCACAACTACTTTACTAAAGTTGTTTGTCCTAAGGAGAGAGGCCTAGCCTTAGGGTGGGAGCCATGGGGAGTACTATTTCTGTCTCCAGTGCATATCTGTTGGCATGATATTTGTGCTTGTGTCTTCTCAGGAAGCATTTGAATCCATCAACTCCATATTGCAGCCCCAGAAGATCTTCTACATTGTGGTGACCAGGACATATGTATGTCTTTGAGTGCACATGGGGTGTCCGGGAACGGACTGTGCACCCAAGATTTCCTGGGCAGTGCTGGAAGACTGTGTGAAGTGGAGGGTGAAAAGTTATAGAGTTGGCTCATTCCTAAAGATAGATTAGCTTTTCTTCACTCAGGATGATCAGGGAGGAGGCATTGTGGCTTATTTCGGGAGATAAATTATAGGACTACATTGACAATCCCGATTTCCTGCAGTTGGAGAGAAATGTATGGGACAAGGTAGCTGGAGCTTTCCAAGTGTTTTCATACCTAGTTTTAACTTCCAGAAGCCTTCTATGCCAAGCCCATCCAAGTCCCTTATTACTGCTTCTTTTTAAACCCAGGCTGGATATCCAAAGTCCAAGATGACTAAAATTTCCAGGCTCTGTCCACAGCCTGCTTGTTTCACCCATGCTGGAAAACGAACTGAGAATACCCAAAATTTGTGTCATGATTTGCACTGAGAAGTTACATCATTCAGCATCTGGTATCATGGTGAACATGGGATCCTTCTGAGTGTCTCAAATCTCCTTCCTAAAATATGGCCATGCTTGCTTATTCACTTATACATCAAATTTTTCTTGTGTTCAGAGTGGTAACTGAGCACATGAAGTGAATGCACATCATCTCTGTGGTGTACAGAGATGATGTTCTAGGAACTTGGAAAGGTCAGTACAACAGCATGCCTTTCTGTTTCTCTGCATTTCAGGCCTCTAATTACATATTTGGTTTATGCTATGGACAGCTGCTGGTTTGCAGCTTCTGGAATACTTGGTCAGGATGATAGGTGCTGAGTTTCTTCACAGGGTCTTATAACTGGAGAAATAACTTCTTGAAAGAGCCTTGGCATTGTACATTGGATGTGCTGGATGGTTCCCACAGGATGCCCAGAGGAAATGGCTTTTCTCTAGCACAGCTAGAAATGTGACCTTGCAATCTGTGCTGTGGGTGATGACCTCATTAGGAAAAGGGCACTGGGATTTTCAATGAGAAGCTCAAGACAGGAGGGAATACTTTATATACTTTTTGAACATTTGCTCCAGGGAATACTTTATATACTTTTTGAACATTTGCTCCAGGGCTTATAGATTACATCCTGTTCAAAGTGTTCTTTTTCAGTAAGCTCAAAGCTTAAATTCCATTTGAAGGGGGGATTTAGCATGGGCCTCTTTGCTTTGACAAATCTGAAACATTTAACATGTACTCAGTGTTCTGGTGACTTCAGTGAGAAAAAAACTTCTGGGGGTCTGCTCAAGTGCTGACTAATGAATTACTATAATATTAATCCATAAGCTTTTTCCTCAACTTAAATCTGAGTCAGATTTCCTGTTGCTGGCTATTTCTATTTGGTGCCCAGTGAAGCTGGTGGAAACTTTAAAATCTGGCAGCATGTGGCAAATAAGGAAAATAGCTCTTTATTTTTAGTTCTGCCAAAATCTCAGCTGAAGGTTTGTCAAGAGGTCACCAGTCCATCTTTCATTGCAAACTTGCTGACTCTGAACTTACATTGTTGTTTGTTTGATTTTCTTAAGTGTCTGATTATCCGTATAAAAGACTGAAACAGAGTGTTACTGAACAAGTTTCAACTTTTTGCAAAGAGAAGCAATAGAAAAACAAAACAAACAAAACTCCCTCAATAAATCTCCAGTTAAAATGTTGCATCTGAGCAGACTACTGGCATCAGTTTCTGCTCTGGGATGAAACTTTGTCCATCCTCCAGTGAGCCTTTGAGCCAAAGTAATTTTTGGTCAGGTACAGTTTCTTCATGAAGGTCAAGCCCTTAACCTCCAGTTCTTCTTTTGCTGGCAGCCAGGAGCCTGAATATTTCGGGACAGATGTTCAGGGATGTGGATCACTTAGAAAATAGGGGGACCTGTTTACCTTTCTTGGAGTTAGTCTGAAAGATATTATTCAAATACTTCTTCTTCATGATGGATTTTTCCTTTTAGTTTTAAATAAAAAGATCTTACCTATTTTTTTTTCTAGTGAAAGAAACCACAAATAATTTTTCTTCTCAAAAAAAAAAAAAAAAAAAAAAAAAAACCAAAAAAAAAGGCAAAAAAAAAGCCACAAAACCAAACCAAACCCAAACCAAACAAACAAACAAAAAAATCCATCCCCCAAAAAACCCCCACTAGTGGTCTTGGGTCCTATATGGGACACTTAAGAAAAGAGCATGTCTTTTGACAACCACAAAATATTCAAAGTATTCAAAGCAAGTCAAAAGCCTCATGACCTTCATCCAGGAAACACTGGCTAACAATTTGTGCTATACAACTTGGCCTTCCACCCAGTTGCTGCCCTGTGCAGGTTGTAGGGGTGCACCAAGATAGCGTTTCTAATAATCTCCTTGGAGACAAAGAGCAGAAAAATTTACATCCTGAATGAAGCAGGGATCCAACAGAAGATTATATTTCTAAGTGTAAGTTAGTTAATGCCTGGATGCAGAAGCTTGCTTCCAAAATCCTTACCAGGAAAAGTGTGTGGAAGGAAATGGGATTTTTGGCAGAAGGTCACTTATTACGTGCATCCTGAAATGGCTGAAGTGTGACATGGGCATTGGGAAACAGCAAAACTGTAGGAACAGGCAGCATTTCTTGCTCCTAAATGTGTGTAGGAAGGAGATCAAGTTGCACCCCTTCCTCTACTCTTCCTGTGCTGGTTTCCTCAGCAAGAAAACCTGCATGCATGTGTGAGGAAGGATCTAAAGTGCCTTCCAGCAGGGCTCTGGTTGAGGTGGTTGTCCCCAGGTTTAGATACTTCGGTAGAAAATCAACTCAGATGAAGGAAGGATCCTCTACATTTAATGTAGCTTTAGTTTCCTATTAAGTTTCTGAAATAAATGTATATGCTCAGTTTTTCAAGAACATGAGATGAATTTGCAAGAGATTTTTGGTTTCTTTCTTGAACTTGGGTACCCATCTTCCAACTGGCCTGTACCCAACCCATCTGTGTGTCCTCTTTCTACTAAGAGCAATGACCACTGTTCTACCAGAGGGTTGCTTGGGTGATACCAGAGATGTTGGGATTGCTTGGTCCTTGGGAAAACAGTCTAGGAGGATACTGGGATATCCAGCTGAGTGCTCAAGTTATCCATGCATTGAACCAGCAGTGTCTGAGAGGGCACATGCTGCTCCCATCTCTGCCATGACACCAGAGGGAAGCAGTAGCTTCCCAAGAGATGAGTGTCCTTACAGTGCATTACAAGGAAGGTCTCAGGGCTTCCTGCCCACACCCTGCCTGCTTGCCCAAGCACAGTAGCACAGACCCCTCACCCAGCCAGACCCAGCAGAGAACACTGACACATCTGAGAATTAACAGGTTCAAAAAGAGAGATGAAGATGGGTCTGACTTCAGTTCTGGTGTAGAAGATTCAGTTGGGAGGAAGGGAAGAGTTCCAGATTCCTGATCTCTTCACAAATGTTCTGTTATTTTCTCACCAAAATGGTGTTTTGTCTGTATTCCCTTCAGCAATCACAACACAACACATATTTTCTCACCCCAAAATAAGGTAAGAATTTCTGGTAACTTTTGCCTGGAAATGTGGCTGAAGTAGCTATGGACAATTAATTAACAACATAGACACAAAGCAGACCCCCTGTCCTGGTATTAGTTGGCAAGAATTGTCTAGCAACTCAATCTAAACTGCTGCCAGGAGGGTGAGATGGGAAGGAAGCCTGAACACATCACAGAGGAATTTATATCACAGGCTACACTTTCACATGTGATGTTTTTTCCCCCACCTACTCACACAGTAGGTTTGTGACTTTAATCTGTTTATTTTTAGTAGGAAGTATAAGTAGGTAAATACTCTGAACTGATAGTGCTCTGAGCGAATATTTTAGGCAGGGAGGATTAATAGTATATGCATGCTAATTGTTGTTATGTTTCTGGGTAATATTGATTTTGGACTTGCTCCCACACACTCCCACACTCCAGGAGAATAGGTTGTTCGGCTACTATCACAAACACTCCCTGCTACTACTGTACAAACTTCTCAAGGTGGGGGTTCCACACCTCCCACATCCCCCTCCTGTTCTCTGCTAAAAAAGTTGGAGCCATTGGAAGCTGCCAAATAGGTCTTCGGAGAGTATCCTCTTGTTTGTCTGCAGGATGAGTGGAGGAGAGACTATGGCCATGCAGGTTGTGAGAAATGATACTCACTTCTAAAAAATTTAAAAGGTTTATTAAAATCTTATCAAAAATACAACAGAAGACTGAATAGAGAAAATATTATGGTGCTGGGAGCAGAGGATCTTTCCCACCATCAGCACCTTGGTCTGTGCCATGGATCTTTCCCACCATCAGCACCTTGGTCTGTGCCATGCATTCAGAGTGCCACACGCCCTCCTCCAAATCATAAACCACACAATTGTTTAGGTTGGAAAAGATTATTGAGTTGAATTGTTATGCCAGCACTGCCATATTCACCACCAAGCCACGTTCACATCTTTTGGACACTTCCAAGGATGGTGATTCCACCATTTCTGTAGGCAGCCTATTCCAGTGTCCCATCCCACAGCAAAGCTCAGTTCTGTGAGGCAGTCTCCATGGCACAGAAATCTAGATCTTCTAGGACTATGTTGAGGAAGCTGTCTCACGCTTTTCTTTAGTCATCCTACCTAACTAAAGAATTTCTTGGTAATTTCCAAGGGGAACTTAATTTAGATTTGCCATAAGAACTTCTGTTGCAGTGTGATTTCATGGTTTACCCCAGAACCCCGGGCATTGCCCCTGAAGATTTCCTCCCAGGTTTGTCATCACTCCTTTCCCCACCCTGACTCTGCCAGCACTGTCTGTCACTCCTGGCATTCCAGAAGGGCATTGAGTGGTTGGGCAGATTCAAAAGATGCCCTCCACCCCCAGGGGAGCATTGGGCCATCCAGGTGTCCTTTGTCCCCTGAGACCTCCTCTCCTGTACCTGGTTGGTGCCTCCCTACCCCTTCCCCCCTTCCCTCCCCCAGGTAAAAGGGACAGACGTGGCCTGGGAGTTCTGTTGGAGCAATTACTGGATTCAGAGCCTGCGGACCAGAATAAAAGCTCTGGATTAAAACCCTCCATCAGAACCTACTCCTTTCCTTCGCCATAGCCTTAAAAGCCTCTCCAGCAGAGGGAAACCTGAAGGAGCAGACCCTTTGTGAGAGGAATCTCCATCCCACTGCCACCTGAGCTCCAGCATGTCTGGGATTGTCTCCATGTGCCCAGCTGCAACATCCAGCTGGCCAAAAGTGTCTCTGGGGTGAAGCACCACAGTTGCTGCCATTTGGTTCAGCTGCAGGGGCCAGACAAGACAAGTCCCATCCCCAACACTGGTAATATCAATAAACTTCCATTCCTTACATTACTGCTGTCCTGCTAATCTCTAGACTGTAGATTACTGCAATATGACCACAAAGTCCAGGAAGGACAGGACAGAGAAAAAGGGAAAGGGAAATCATGAAGTCCTTTGGAAATCACACAAAGGACACCCTTTCCACCTCAACCAAGATCAAGAATGTGATTTACAACGTGTTATAAATGAAAATTTATTCAGCCAAATTAAAAAAATAAAAATAGTTTTATTTGTGGTCAAATTCTATCTAGCCAGCTACGAAAAAAAAACCACAGTGCTGAGCCCGGGGATCGATCCTGGGTGTGCAAGAAGGAGTCAGCCTCAGCAGAGGTTTTTCCCCTATGCCCACACACCTCCATCCTGGCACAAGCGGTTTTTATAGGGAAAATTCCGCCTGAGGCCAAGATTTCTGCAATCAGTCTTTTCTTCTATTCAGAGTCCATATGTTAATAAGGTTTTCCTTTTTGGTGATGAGGAAGAACAATTCAGTGTTCAGAGTTGTTGAATCCCGTGATGAAATGTACAGGAACGCTACATTTACATGTATCTGCCCGAGGATTTCTATAATATCCATCTCGGGTCGTTCAGGTGATGATCAGCACCTGGGGTCCCAGTATCTCTCCAGACATGGCCCATCTCCTGGCAAGCCGTACCTTCTTGTAAATCAGTTTCGAGTATAATCTAACAAGTATTTAACATTACATATTTAACACAAGGAATGGCGCGAATTATGTTTATTACCCATAACATAACGAAAACGAACCTCACTCTACTAAAAATGTTCTTGGACACGAAAATGTTTTAAGAATGAAGCTGGGTAATTTAAACTTTTTTCTCTAGGTGTGGAAGGTAAGGAGATAAAAGATAATGGGAGGCATAGCCCATCTCAGTCAGGAACTTGGTAACTTTTTGAGTTCTTATAAATTTTGCAAACAAGGGTACCACTACCAAATCAACCCTCTAGGTGCAAACCGTGGCTGTGTCTCACTGTAACAGGAGCTGCAGCTCTCTGTAGGGGATTTTGGTAGTTCCTCTCCAGTTGTCCTGCTGGCATCTGTATACCATCATTTCCCACATTCCATCTGTACATACCATGTACATCCAAATTAACCAATTTAACAGATCAACTCTTCTACCCGACTTTTGCAAAGAGACTAAAGCTCTAGGGCCAGAGTTATTCTTGTGCCATCTCCACCTTGATTGAAAGATTTAAAGGATCTAGGTTACATTTACCCTCAAGTCTAAAGTTTGCAACCCCTGTTCCTCAACCCATTTACTTCAGCTTGAGGTTTCTATTTTATTTCCAAACAATAACTTTCCATAAAGCACCTGTGCTAACCCTAACCAGAAGTAACCCCAAGCCCTGCAGAACTTTCACAGTGGCTGATCAGACGAGGCAGTTCCTCACTGTCTGTGCCCTACTATTTGTTAAATTTCATAGCAATTATTTATAATATGGCCATTTGATAACAATTATTTGTCGTAAAGCCTTATCCTGTGTTCTCTGTACTTAGTAAGTTCTGCTTTGCAGCATCTTCCTGGGTTAAGATGCTTTGGCAGATATTTATTATGATTTTGGTCTTCTCAATTCTCTTTATTACAGGAGAACTCATGCATGCCTCAGGACAAACCCACAGGGGAAAACAATCTGCAACCAAATGAATATGTGCATCTTCAAGGAATGGCTCTAGCAAGCCTCCACCCTGACCAAAATCCCTGCTTCACAGGGAAGGCAGTCCTCCAGCTCTCAAATTAGTAATTCTGGGCTTGGATGTGTCACATTTACATGGTATATTTGAACAAAAGATGTAAATCAAGACCTAAAACTATGCTGTGGTCACCTGTACATCTATATTATATATTTTAATGCGAAAACCAAGGCTGCAAAATGCTCAGTAACAGCTATTGCATCCACCTGTAGATTGATGCAGTTGGAAAAAAACATTTCCAAGCATTCAAATCTTTCTCTGGACGCCTTTTTAATATTAAGAAATACTAGAAAGTTACATCTGATGACAGTGTTTTGTTAGTACCCTGTGTCTCTGCAGTCCTGAAGTGGGTGCAGGGAGAACTGAACAAGTTGAAGTCTGGAGAAGAAAACAAATATCCCTCTTTCTGGGAACACTTCAGCTACAACACTTTGTTCTCACTAAATTTGTGCTTCTTCCCTGTGGTTTGTTCTCATGTCATTGTGAGTCTCTTCTCAATATAGTATTTTTATTTCACATCCAAAATAAACCAAGAGAAAAACCAGAAAAGAAAAAAAATCACATACTAGGAAAGAATAAAAGATAATGCACAGGTGGTCACTGGAAAAGGTTGTTGAGTTTCCATCATGCTAGATTTCCAAAAACCCCACATGACATGGTCCTGAGCAGTCTGACCCTCCTTTGAGCAAGAGGCTTGGACCAGATAATCTCCAGAGCTTCCTGCCAACCTCACTGATGTGGGCACAAGGAACTGTTCCCAGCTTTTTGCTTTATGCAGGTCTTGGGCAGCATCCTTGACAGTAAAAAAACCTGTGCAAAGAGACACTTTCAGAGCCTTTAGCTGACTTCTGGTAGAGCCTGATATGAAGGAAGTCACAAAATACTGGAGATCTATGAGCCTCTGGAACAGCTCTGGCTAAGAGCTGTGACAAGCTGATTTTTTTTTTTTTACCATTAAAGATATTTCTGAACAATGTATTTGTCTAATGAGTATATATTTGGCTCTTACAAGTAAGGATTATTGAAGTTTTACTAAAAGCGTCATCAAAAAGGATTCATGCTAGGTAATTTGGGCATTCAGGTGACAGAATTAGATAATCTTGGTTCCTTCCTTCCAAGCCAAACCATTCTATGGAGTCTAAAACCCATATGTAGTCCATAAAAGACTGGCTGATATGGCTACCTCTGAAGAGTCCAGTAACAGCCCAAAAAGCCCATGGTCCTAATCACCCACTCCCAGCTGGGTGACAAGAGTAGCTTTTCTAAATCCATTTAATAACAGATACAGAAAACAAGATCACCAGGATCACAGAAAATTTCAAAACTGCTAAAAGCCATACTGAGCTGGAAAGCCAATGAAAACACCAAGAAACCTAAAAAAAACCCAAACAACAAACCAACCAACAACCCCCAAACAAACAAAAAACAACAACAAAACCCACAAACAAACAAAACCAAAACAAAACACAAAAAACTCTTTTTTTTTTTTTTTTTTTTTTAAAGAGGCCAATGATTGAACAAAACTAAACTCCTAGGAAGTTTTAAGTAGGACCAGGTCTGGAGTACCGGACATTTCTAACAGATAACTGTGGTAACAGTTATCAGAGAATGGTTTGAGATGGAAAGGACCTTATAAATCATCCTGTTTCAAGCTATTGCTGTGGGGGCAGTCCTGGGCTTTAAGAATTATGTAAGACTATTTGATTACTCTTCAGTCCACAGTGCTTGAAAACTTCTTAATATCTTTTCTGTACCAAATAATTCAAAGACCTTTTCTCTAGAATTAATGAGCAAGTTTGCAGGTACTGATTTTCCTATTTTAACACTTCAACAACTTTTCACCAAAGTACAGTGAAAACATACGCCTCCTCTCGCCAAACCCATCCAAGATGATATGATTAACTATCTCTGCATGCCAGTCATAGCTCTACATGCCTCAAAGTACCACCAAGTTCTCTCTTTTTCTTTTTTTTTTAACAGTTTAAATCCTTAGCATACTAATGCAACTCTCAATTGCCAGTATCAGAGATACAAGGCCACTAGATTTCAAATTGCAGCATCTGTGCTGATTGGAGAGAAAAGACTGCAAATGACAGAAAATACTATCCCCCTTCAATCTTACCACTGATTTTTTTTTCCAAGTTTTTATTTTTTTTTTTTTTCTTTCCTGTCAAAGTGCCAAGGCCCTGGCACAGGTTGCCCAGAGAAGCTGCAGCTGCCCCATCCCTGGAAGTGTTCAAGGCCAGGCTGCACAGGACTTGGAGCAACCTGGTCTAGTGGAAGGTGTCCCTGCCCGTGGCTGGAGGGTTGAACGGGATATGTTTCAATGTCCACTCCAACCCAAATTATTTGATGATGATACTTTACCTATATACTAGACTGACATGCCTCAACAACAATTTCTTCTTGCAAAGGAACCCACAAATTCACCTAAAGGTACTTCTTCCCTAACTTTCTCTTTGATAAGCTATGTTAAGCTCTAAATTTATTATAAGGTAAGCATTTATTTTCTACTGGAAGAAAACAGATTCAAAGATTCTCAGGACAGACTCTGAGTAGGGGAAAAGACTCAGTCCCACAGTTTGGAAGGAAACCATGCAGAGGTGTTAGCATACATTAGTCATGGTTTACTTCAAAATTTAGGGAAAGGAGCCAAGCATAGAGACAGAGGTGCTAAACATACTTTTTACAGG